TATATATACGTTCGGCCGATTGACAAAACGTACTGAAATTCATATAAATAATTCCCTGGCAAATTTCCTTGAAATCGGTTCAGATTTAGATAAAGCATAACTTCCCTATATAATTTTGACCTATTCGTGTTGGTTGTAAATAGTCGGTTTGATTGATGTTAGTTGGTTTACTAATAGATAAAGATCGCATACTTAAGTTCGTTCAGTTCCATGTCAATGTTCCTTCGAAAATACAACATCTGTAAAGATACATATGTAGAATATCCGCAATGTTGTGAAGGGTATCATATAGTCGGCCCAGTCCGACTTTACTACTTTCCTTACTGGTTTTTAAGCTCGACTTATGAAACCGCTGTTCTGTCATAAGCCAGCTAAGTAAGTAAGTTGGTATTTTGAGAATCTTGAACACGACTTTCAAATGATTTTGCTATAATTTGGTATTTTGTATTCTCATTGACTGTCAAATCTCATTACCAAAAATTAACAGTATTGATCTTCGTTTTATTATAACCCCATCGATCTGTTGAAATCACGATAGAGATAGCAATATTTAATATAGAAATTTGAAAATTTGCACTGGCATTGCTATTACTGCTAGAATGTTTGGAATTGATATTGCAAATGGGGTTTATCGGTCCACGCTTTTATATAGCTCTCACAAGGTTTTTATGGGTTGACTTATATCTATGGGAAAAGCTATTAAGACAGGTCCATGGTTTGGCATAGTCCTATATAGAGGCCCCTTCCAGTTTTCGGTACTTTAACCTCATTATCAACCGAAAAGGCATCAATTTGGCATTTCGAAGTTTTGGAGACTGTGCAGAAAAGAGAGCTCAGAAAGTGATTATTATAGTTCCATAAAAAGATACCGCCAAATTTTCGGTTTTAATAGCTTTAGCGGCATTTTGGCAATTCGGGTTTTTTTGAGGCCGACATATATCACCGCCGCCAAATTTTCGGTTTTAATAGCTTTAGCGGCATTTTGGCAATTCGGGGTTTTTTGAGGCCGACATACATCAATGGAGAACATTATCAATATAGGCTCATGTTTTGCCATTTCCATAAGTCTGCGTAGACTTTTTCAGGTTTTTGGTAAAGAAAATACTTCTCCGCTGAAAATTTCAATATCGGTCAATGTTTGTAAATACATACATAAGTCCCGCATAATTTTTGTTATGTTAAAGTTCTTAGTCTAGTTTTTTTTTTAATTTTGGTGTGTGTAATTTCTTATTTAATTTTCTAAGAGTATAAACAAACTACGAGCAGACAATTTATATTATCATCATATAAATGTCACGAATTTTGAAGAAATTTCGAACATACACCACATGGTGTCCAGACCGAACTAAAACACGCGTTTACCTGTTTAATTTAAAACTTTAGATCATGGACTAATGAACTGGGAGTTCAGTGGGAGAGTTTTCATGAAAGCATACATTTTCAGCAAATATGACCATATGATACCCTACACAACAACCACTGAACTAAAACGTTCCACCCATCTATATTCCAAGCCTGGACAATATTTCGCGTAATTTGCAACTTCATGATGATTAGAGGTTAAAAGCCCCTCTTTATACCCTGACATATCTTTTCGGTATCATGTTTTCACATTTCTTATTTTACACACAAAAGTCCTGGTCCATTTGACCCGCAAATTATAGACATCGTCGGACCTCCATGTACAATTTCGAATCCATCAGCTCGCCGTTTTCGTCATCTAGTATGGTAATGGTATTAGTAAACAATATCATACGTATATATTCCACATCTGAGTACTTACATAAATATAATTGGTATCCATTTAAATGTAAACCTCTCATCTTGGATATACTGACATCGACTGTATATGTCCTTCAGGAGTAAAAATATACGCCACAGAATTCAATTTTTGTCATTTTTCACACAAAAGTTCGGGTATATTTATGCCGCTATATATTGACCGATCTTCATTAAAACAGTCATGCATATTTCATGGTTAGAGCACTTTTTTTTGTGTAAAATTTCGTGATGTTTGGGTCATAAAATTTTGCCTCTAGAGTGACCAGAAAAACAGACATTGGTCTATAACTGAGGCCCGTATCGTGTTTACAAATTATAATGGACATATGGACACACATGTCTAGTCGAGATTTGACGTTCGCTATAATACAAATTAAAAGCAGATATGAAAAACAATATATTTAAGACCTACACAAATATATTGAGCAGCCCCAAAAATTTGTAACTCCGCAAAATATTGGCTCTAGACCCATGCCAATATTTTGCGGAGTTACAAATTTTTGGGGCTGCTCAATATATATCTGTGTAGGGCTTTAATATATTGATTTTCATATCTGCTTTTAATTTCTGTAACATATTTCTGCGAATAGATAAAATTTTAAGTATCACTTAATTATCCTCCATAATTCAGCAATTACTTTTGTATTAATGTCGATTGTGACAAAAAAGGACGAACACAATCCACGTTCACGAGCTTTGTGTTCCGTTGAAGTACTTAAAGCTCATATCCGGCAAGTGACATGAAGACATAACAGTTTACATTCACTAGCTAAATGACAGTGATGTCAACCGAAAAAAAAACAAGAAGAAGAACAACAACAATATATCCACCAAGAAAAGAACAGACCAGACCAAATGACAATAACAATGAATTTACATCCGGCTTCTGTTAAACTTATATATCGTCTTTCTTCAGACTTACTTTACGACGTGACAACTTATCTTGTGTGTATGCTAGTGTGTGTGTGTGGGAGAGAGAGTTTTTTTACAACAACAATAACATTCCAAATATAAAGTCATCATCTGGAGTGAATTGAATGGGAACGCAGACCTGTGTAAAATGTTTAATGTCATCCCGCACCCGTAGGATGATGCTAAAGATGAACAGGAGATGAATAACAATGACGACGACGCTGAAGATGATGATGATTGTGATGAGATTGATGCTGCTGCTGCCAAGTTTTGAAGTTTGAATGACTGCCATGATATCGTCATCACTCAGATATTTGGATATCTATATGTCACCGGTATATGGTAGTTTTGCAAGTTTCTGGAAGGTGGGTGGCTGGGTGGCTTCGTTCAGGTTACCTTCTCCAACCTGACTTCATTCATTGTTATAGCCGTTATAAGTTATTTCCTTTTCTTTCTTTTTTTGTTGCCAAGTTTTCTTGGAGTTTTATTGTTGTAGTTAAACGTTGCTGATGTACGAAATGATATCAGAAAGTTTATGATGGATAGCCAGCCAAACCAGGCAGAGTCAGTCCCTTAGTCAGTTTGCCAGTTATAAGCAGTAAAATAATCCCAAAACTCTCGAATACAATGTGAAGTAATTTTGTTCCGTTTCGTTTCTTTTTTTTCTTCGTATTTTGCAGATCGTTCGTCCTGTTAACGCATTTTTGATTGTTGATGTACAAAATGACTTTATAAGTGGTTCCTTGGATATAAGTAATTGCAGTGCACAGCAAAAGGGGCACGAGGTAAGTTGATATCAATTCTCTTTTTTCAGTATTGTCTCTGTCGTTTTTTTTCTGTGTTAAAATAACTAAGGAAAAGTAAGACTGCCGTAATGTTATGTACCATATTGTCTTCCTTTTTATTAAGAAAAAGACGAAAAAGGATTTTTTTTATTTTTTGAGGAAAATAATACAATGGAAAAAAGGCCCAGTTTTTCCTATGGTTTGTTGTTGAGAATATAGGTAATCACCGTTATACAAAAAATAAAGTTCTACAAAAATAAAGCAAAAAAAAAACTTTTAACTTTGACATATGATATCAGGCTAACACTCTATGAGGCTATGAAGCTATATTGAAATAACTAAAAATAAGGAAAACTATGACAGATAGGACCTTCAACATACCGAAAAATAGGTGGGAAAGTGATGATTGAAATTCTCTTAATATCTAATAGTGGGACTACCGTTATATGTGGCTATAATAAAACGGAGATCAATATTGATATTTTTGGTAGTAAGATTTGACAGCCAATGAGAATACAAAATACCAAATTACTGTCAAATTCGATTGAAAGACGTGTCCAAAATTCTCAAAATACCGTCTTAGGTAAATAATAATTTTTAGTGAGGAGATATGGTGATACCGTTATAAGAACCAAAAATACCCATATAGAGCCAATTTGATTGAAAAGCGTGTCAAATATCTCCATATTGGGGGGTTCCATAGTATGGGGGCTGCCATTTAAATTGGTTTTATGACAAAATAGTGTTTTATGACAAAAAACTACAGACTGTAATCCTAATGAATACTTATAATAGATTTCTGTGGCAAACGCGTATGACTCGGTATACGCGTTTGCTTTTATAAATTAGTGTTTTCATAGTTAAATCTTAAAAACGCTGAAGGGAATATCGACTACTATATGACATTGTTGCAAGAGTTTATGATGCACTTCGCAACTGCAGTCTAAGAAAACACATCTGACCCAACTTGACGTACGGTTTTTGGTTTTTGCTCTTCTGAACGTTTTCATTGAGATGATTGTGCTTTTGTTTTAACGTCATAGCCCTACACCCATGATTAGTCAACAGTTATGATATTTTATGAGGTCTTGATTGATGTTATGAGGTCTTGGTCGATGCCCAAAATTAAAATTTTTGCAATTTTAAAACAATCTTCACTGCCGCACGTTTTATGGGTCAGAGCAGAACGATATTAACAACCATTCTCATAGTTATTCGGCTTTTGGCGTGATCCAACGACATTTCTTAAAGCGGCTATACCACAATTTAACTTTTGCTCATTGGAGACTCCACAAACGCCGAAGTTAGCAATTCAAATAATCTTGGGAGTTTTAAAGGCCCTAGAAGTATTTTTCAACCGAAGTGGCTGTATTTGGATTCTAAAGGATAAAGACGCTCTTCGATGAGTATTTTTAGACAAGTTGAAGAAGCGATAACAATTTTTTAAAGGACGTTCGAAGATTTTGGTTTCATAGAGTCTCTTTATAAATGGGGTGTTCTTAGAGTCGAGCTGAGTTCTTAGAGTCGAGCTGAAAGGGAGTCTGAAGGGATTATTGTTTTATATAGGAGTTAAAGTGAGTACTTTTTGATTATTTGCGAATTATGAGTTGGGGAGCAAAGAGTTCTATAAAGTTCCTACACAAGTACCACTGAACTTTGTACGAATTTATATTCCAAGACTGCACAATATGTTGTCATATTTGCAATCTGTTAACTGATTAGGCCAACTGTTCTTCTGTCTTAATCTGGCATCTTTTCCTAATTAAATTTGCTCGGAGAGAACACTAAGCCCATAATATTCAAATGTTGTTTTTTTTACATAAAATTCTGGTTTAATTTGACCCGCTAGATATAGATCAATTATGAAAAAGAGAGAAAAGAGTCATGATTGTTCTTTAGTTAAATGCCTTTCAACATGTAAAATTTCGTAATGTTCGGGTCATAATTGTGGTCTCTAAAGCGGTCAGAAAAACAAACAAAAATAAACTTCTTGGTCCGAAATGCAAAGTTTCGTGAAGATTGGTCCATGACTATACCACAATTATCGTGTTTATAAGTTATAATGGACAGACGCACGGTTGGTGATATGACTGGTATACTATAGGTGGGTCTAGGAACAATATTTCGCGGCGTTAAAAACTCTTGGGACCGCACAAAGATATAATACCCTGATAAAATAGTTGTGTAGGGTTTTAAATCAGTGAGCGGAGCAGTATAGTCGGATGGGGCCGACTATAAGATACCCTACACAACTACCACGGAACTTTATCTTTCTGTGGATGTTTATTACGAGCCTGGGCAGTATTTCGTGATAGTTGACCCTCTTGTCCGATTAGAGGTCAACAACACTTTTAATTACCTTTTCCGAATATTACTAATATCAAGAACAGTCCATATTCCCTTCACGTTGGGTTGTGTTGTTCCGCTTATAATTTTGACACAAAATTAAGATTTGGGCCCACTTTATCCCAAAATTATTATCTGATCATCACCATCAATTATAGGCGTTGCCCTTGACCATAACTGGAACCTTATGAAAATTTCAAATCGATGAGTACTATATTCCCGCCCTCTAGTGTGGTAATGGGTTACTAAGTAATATCTGCATACCTGAGCACCTGTAGATATTTACGTATAACATCCACATCCGATTACATACAGAAATATAAATGGTATCAATTTAAAGGTCAACCACTCCTCTTGGATATACTATCAACTTCTCGGTTATATGTCCTTCAGGGATAAAAAAATTACAAAATTTGTATTCTATAGCGTATATATAAAATACAAATTTTGTAATTTTTCTAACAAAAGTCAGTTCATTTTACCCGCTATATATATTGATCGATCTTTATCAAAAACAGGCATGCTTATTCTTAGGGGTCATCATTGGCTAGAGCCCATCCTACGTGAAGATTGGTCCATAACTGTGGCCTGCATCGAGTTTACAATTTATAATGGGCAGAGGGACGGACACACATGTCTAGATCGACTCAGCTAGTCGAGATATGACGATTTGTATGCTTAAAGGTGGGTCTATGACCAATATTTCGCAGCGTATAGAAAGCTCTTGGGGCTGCACAAAGCTTTAATACCCTGACAACATAGTTGTGTAGGGTAGAGTTGGGCAATCTTGTTCACTTAGCGGATCGATCTTTCTCGTTCATTTTTTTAAAAGGAACTAGTTCCTTAATGTAGTTCCTTTGCTCCATATAGTTCATTTATTTCATAGAGTTCCTTTGCTTCTTATAGTTCTGACTCCTACATAGTTTCTTTGAATCTCTCTCTCATCGTTCTTTTTGTTTTTTCCTTTTTTCCTATAGTTCCTTTGCTCCATATAGTTCCTTTGATCCATATAGTACCTTTGCTCCATATAATTCCTTTATTCCATATAGTTCCTTTGCTTCATATAGTTCCGACTCCTACATAGTTCTTTTGAATCTCTCTCTTTCATCCTTTTTTTCGTTTTTTTTCATTTATAGTTCATTTGCTCCATATAGTTCCTTTGATCCATATAGTTCCTTTGCTCCATATAGTTCCTTTGCTGTTTATAGTTCCTTTGCTCCATATAGTTCCGACTCTTACATAGTTCCTTTGAATCTTTCTCTTTCATCGTTCTTTTTGTTTTTTTTTTTGCTCACGTAGTTCCGATTTGTTAATAAATTCAAAAATTGAAAAAAAATTAAATGAAGCAAAAGAATTCAACTGCAGGACGATAAGCACAAAATATTTTTTTTTATAAATAAAAAAAAATATAATGGAGAGGGGGGCACCTTTGAACACTTTTTGCTTACAAGCCTTATAAAATTTTTTATTTTATAATTTTTGCTTTCTTATAAATTTTAACTAATAGGTACATATGTAACCTTTAAAATGAATATACATATGACATACTATAAGCTTGATAAATATACTTTATTACTGTTTTAATGGACGAACTCAAAGTGTTTAAAACTGCCCCCCCCAGCAGCTTTGAACAGAGGTTGGCATTTTTGAACGCCATGGTTTTTTACAGTGTTTATGTTCAAATATGTATGTATTTTATTCATACATATCAGAAATGCATTAATTCATTAAAAAATATATAAAATATGCTCAAAATTTAAAAAATTTAGATCAAAAGTTATTAAAACATGAAATGACTTAAAAACAAAAATTAATATGGTGAAAAATACTGTAAATTTCGTAATCTTATTAACCCATTTGAAATTTTGAGAAATCGAAGCCAAAAGTTAAAAACTCATTTTTTTACTCGAGTTTAATGGGCATGTTCAAAGGTGCCCCACCCATGCCATTTTACGTAAATTTAAAATAATTTTTTTTTGTAATAAATATGTATGCACGAAATTACATTAGTTATGTTTGAAATGATTGTTGGAATGCAAAAAAATTTTTCGACGAAAGAAAACTATCACAGAATTCTTCCTGCGCCCTTACAACCAAATGAATAAAAGTTTACAATGACACTGAGAAAACATGGTCACCCATGCACAATTTTTCGACAACTGAAAAAGCAAGCCAAAGTGGTTTACGCATATAGAGAACAAGATTGCCATATACAAAAATGTGGTTGCGGGTCGGAAAAATATTAAACCAAGATTTTATGAGCGCTGTTCAAAGGTGCCCCCCTCTCCCCTATATAAAACAAAAAAATAAAATTTAACTTTTTACACAATTTGAAATACGAACGAATGAAAAATGTGGGAATAAAGGAACGAGGTCAGAAAAAAGAACGAGAAAATAAGGAAAAGGCAAAAGAACGAGATCAAAAAGGAACGAGATCATAAAAATGAACTATATTAATTACAGAGCTGGAACTAGTTCCGATCGTTCCTTTCTCGGAATAGTTCTAATGAAGTAGTTCGTTCCGGAACTACCCAACTCTAGTGTAGGTTATAAAAATAAACAAAACATATTTTAAAAACTTTAATTAAAAATTGATGCTTCAATAAAGTCCCTCTTTATTATTGACGCCATGCCGTGATTCTGCTGATGGACAAACGCGTCTTTTGAATATGGGAGAACAGCCATAATTCTATGATTCTTAAATAAATGGAGTTTTTCAGAATTATATCATACGAAAATATAAGTTCGTAAGATATAATTCTAGAAAACTCCAGGCGTCAAAGGACCTAGAAAAAACTAAAGTCTACAACGGTAAGGTCTTTGTAAAAATATGATTTAATCTACTCTTATTACATACTTTGATTTGAAATTCACTCTTCAAAAGAAGGGTCGTATCAATTGGCGCAAAGAAATTTTTAATACTACGCCTAAAAAATTGCCATAGGTGATAAATCATTGCATTTTCCTATGAGCCCGAATACTTTTTGATGTTTTATATCCGAGTTGTCATTATAAGTTCAAAAACATATAGTAGCCCTCTTACTACGATTAGTATTTTTTTCAAATAGACCTTAGTTCTGATGATCACCTCTTCAGTTAGCGAAAGTTTCTTCCAATCAAGCATTCTTTTGAGATTTGGGGACAAGATCTGGAAGATGTGGAGGCAATTATATTATCACAGAACCCATATAGTTCAAAAATTAAACATTCAAGAACTCTATTTTATATGTTCATAACAATTAACATACAAAAATTAGTTTGACAAAATCGAATGTTTAGACAATGTCAAAAAATGCTAAAACTGAACTACAGTCGAATTCGGATAAGCGAACACCGGTTTATCGAAAAAATTGGTTAATTGAAACTAAAAATTTTTAACTAATATTTGGGATGTATATCCAAACCCTTTACTTCGCTCAAAATAAAAACCGGTTAATTGAAAATCTGTATAAGAGGAAGACTTTTTTGTTGAAAAACACAAATATTTATGAAACAAGTACCGTTTAAGAGAAAAAATATAATTTTTGTAAGGGCGACGAAATTCATTAAAATTTTTATGTGCAGCCCTAAAATTATATTGCACATTTTTCCAACCATCCAACCTAATGTCAACAAAAAAATAGGTTCTGATTCAATTCATTTTATAATATGATTTATAAATATCACGATTTTTCAGATATTGATTGAAAATTTCGTCTAAGCGCAACGACTTTCGCTTATTCGAAGTTCTCTTAATTAAAAATCCTGCTTAAGAGAAAAAATTTTTGTGAAATTAGCCGTTTTAGCTTAACCGAATTCGACTGTATTTCGTCAAAGGTCGTCTGGAAAAGTCTAACATCTTTGGGTGTCCATTGCGTTCACCATTTTGGTTCTCATTTTATCACGTTTCATTTTATTGTGCAGATCTCTGAACTGATCTGGGACATTTTTGTCATATAGACGCAGATAGTAGAGAGCCAGTGCAACTCTCTTGCTGTGTTCGCTTGTAGAGTTTGAGAGTTAATGGGGGGACCTTACTTCTGTAAATACCACCTACGTTTTTCCGGTACATCATCCCCTATCACTCCAATTCTTGGCATTAATTCTTCTTTTCATTACTTAAAGACACAGACAAACAACATTGTGCCACTTTTCGGAAATTTTTGTTTGGATTGCATGTTCATTCATGTTTTTTTTTGTATCATTCGTTACTTGATACGCTGTCATCGTTCTGGCTGTCGTTTCTTTTACTGTGAGTTTGTATTATACGGAAACGGATATGCTTTACTTACAACACATCCGTTTGTATTACAGAATGTGTTGTTGTTGGATATTCCAACGACAACGACTGCACATATTCAGACACAAAACAACAGTCAGACAGTTACAGCGACCACACACATACACTCTCATAAAGACTTTTTTCTCGTTTTGGGATGGATATTTTAATAAAAATTTGTCAAAGTTCATATTTCACATTTCCGAAGATGTTTTCAAGAGAGCACTTTTTTCCTTATACAGGAGACTTCATTCATACATACATTCACGCATATATATGTTTTCCCTCATGCACAGTCAGGACATTGTGGATACGTGTTGGATATGTGTGAATGGCATTCGTCGTTGTTTTTTTGGAGTGATGATGATTTTTGTTGATGAAATTCGAATAGGAAACTTTGAGATACAGATTTGTTGTGTGGATAATCACTATAGCAGGAAAATTTATGTTGTCGAGAAGAATAGTCGCGCAGATGTCACCTCTCTAGTGTTGAGTAAAAATTTCAAACATATGTTGCATACTTTTAGGATGAGGCTACTAACTTTATTTCATTTTTTATTAATATTTTTGGCGAACATGTGAAGATTTTTAAGCTATTTTTCGGACAGACATCTTAACAATATTAATCATTTTTTTTTCAAAATTGTATTCTTTCAGATCCTGGAACCCACCAACAATCTCTTGGATACCGTGGATTTTGATGCTGTATTCTATTCCTTGGATTGGCATCCCAGTGATCATGTTTCCTTTATTGATAATGTTAAAATGCGGCCACTAGACGAAAACTCTCCCGTAAGTATGATTAGGGATTATTAGAAAATTGTATCTAAATTATTTACTCCTAAACAGATTGATGCAGATTCGGCCCAAGTCTTTGATACCGTCATATTTGCTGGTCCACCACCAATGAAGCAGCGTTTGTGGCCGCGTCACTGTGTTCAGGATTCGTGGGGTGCTGAATTGCACAAAGACTTGAAGGTGGTTGAACATGGCATTAAAATCTATAAGGGTACAAATCCGGAGGTTGATTCATATTCGGTGTTTTGGGACAATAAGAAACTCTCTGATACCACATTGAATGCCCAGCTGAAAATGAAGGGAGCAACGGATATTTATGTATGTGGTTTGGCCTATGATGTTTGTGTGGGTAAGTTCGAAACATACCACTTCCTCTGTCAACATATATTCAAAGAAGTACTCATGTTCTTGCTAGGTGCCACTGCTGTTGATGCTCTTTCTGTGGGTTACAGAACTATTTTGATTGATGACTGCTGCCGTGGCACAGATTTCCATGACATTGAACACACCAAGGAAAAGGTGATAAGTAATCATGGTGTCATCGTCCACTCAACTGAGGTAAGGGTAAAGCTCATCAAAATCCCCAACAAGCAAATAACGATATATTTATTTCCATTTCCAGGTCAAGGCAATGGCTGAGGGCCGAGATCGCCGCCCCGAGCTTGGCTATAAGCTAGCCATGGAATTAAAAAATCCCGATTCGGTTCTATCTCAACGCAATGGCTATCGTTCAGTGGAGTAGATCTCCCCATTTATGTAGCAGTGCTATTCTTTAAGCTAATATAATGCTTGCCCGTCTATCTCTCCCCCAACCCCTTAGATTGTATTGAAAAAATTACTTATCTCTTTTAGTTTAGTTTAACCTTTATGAATAGTTTTTTTATTATTATCGATAATATAATTTACTGCTTATTGTTATTACTACTTACTATGGGTCCACCATACTGATTTATGTGAAGGGAAAATGGAATGTTTATTTTATTGGAAAAGTGTAAGGTATGCATATGAACAACAAAAAACTCTTATTCCTCGTATTGCTTTGAAACAAAAAAAAAACTAATTTTCATTAAAAACTTCATTTAGACGCATTTATCTAACACAGCACTTCGCTATAGAATTACATACAATCATACATATGTATTTTAAGTTAATTGGTTATTTTATAGGTAAAAAATATCAAAAGAATTCAACAAACAATTCAAATAAAAGACATTTACTTAACAACAGCAATAAACAAATAGTTTTTTATTGTCTTTTTTCCAGGAACACTTCAAAGAATTTATACCAAAAACTAAAGTAATCCTTAAAGGGAACCCCTCCCATTCTCGAAAATTCAACGGTGTTAGAAAGAGTACATGTCTGGATCCCGTATGAACTAGGATTATTGACTTCGCTATAAAATGAACCAAATGGCGGACCTTTGAAAAAATATTTTTGGAAAATCGCCGATTTTTTACCAAAAACCAAGTTAAAAAATAAGGAAGATTTTCACCGATTGACTTTATCCTAGTTCATACGAGAGCTACAAACTACTAAAGAAATGTGTAAAAATTTGGAATCGATTGGGTTATTAGTTTTTGAGTTATCGTGCCCGTCATTCGCAAAAGAGAAAAATGCGTTTAAAGTTTGAGAAGCCCTTTAGCCGTCACTTGATGCTGACACAATAAATCGGCTATATATTCAAGTGTTATTGAGATTTTCACTTGAAATTTTGTAGGGACATTTTTGAATTAGTGTAAATTCGAATTTAATTAAAAAAAAAATAAAATAAAATTGACCCCGAGAATGGGGGGGTCCCCTTAAAGCATTTCTTTGTTTAAGGGATTATCACTTAGCAGCCGTAATACCAAGAAAATTTCATCTTTACAGAGATTTAAAGTTTATTTAAACAGTTCCACTTTGTCTTAGGAGTTATGTACTTATGGATTAATTTTTTAAATGTTGACACAAACTTTTATTCAAGAAGACTTAAGCTTCAAGGGAAACTCTCAAATAATATGAACTTACTAAATGTAAAACATACATTTATGGAATAAAATTAGTTTGCAGAACTAAATGGCAATCAAAAACGATATAAAGTCGATATATA